AGCCAGAAAAAAAGAAGAAAAAAAAGCGCTAAACTAATTGAATTTCTGTCTTCCAGGTTTTCAGATAAGACGTTTAGCCATCTTGACACCATTTGTCGTAAGAATCTCTAAAACAAACTCTTTGAGTTATTCAGCTAGAAAGAGAACGAGATAAAATCGTTTTGTATTAGTGTTTAGGAGGGTTTTTTTTTAGAATTTCTTTTTTCCTGTTTATAGTTGTAATGCATTTGATTGCGATATATTCATTTGATATGTTTATTTATGAATATTTTTTCCATTTTTATTTATCTTCATCAGCACTGTAATCAGGAAGTCATTATTTAAAGAGAATTTATTATATATATATATATATATATATATATATATATATATATATAATAAAATGTTCTCTTTGAGTGTGTAGATATAGATAGATAGACCCCCTTAAATTTGACCAAGACAGATTCAATAATAAGATAGATAGATACAAATATAGATTTATAGATAGATGATAGAGATAGAGAGATGAATAGATATTGAACAAATGAGATAGATAGATAGATAGATAGATAGATAGAATAGATAGATAAATTTTTCCTGTTTATAGTTGTAATGCATTTTATTTCAATATAATTATTTGATATGTTTAGAGTTATTTGATGATGTATTGTTTTCATTTTTATTTATCTTCATCAGCACTGTAATAGGAAGTCATTATTAAAGAGAATTTCATTATATATATATATATATATATATATATATATATATATATAATTATAAAAAAACTCTAAGTGTGTAGATAGATAGATAGATAGATAGATTTTTGTTTTAATTTCTGACCAAGACAGATTCAATAGATAGATGAAATGATAGATAGATAGATAGAGAGATAGAGAGATAGATAGAATATGAACCATGAGATAGGTTTGAGATAGATATAGATAGATAGATAGATAGATAGATAGATAGATAGATAGATTTTTTTTTTCCTGTTTATAGTTATAATGCATTTGATTTCAATATAATTATTTGATATGTTTAGAGTTATTTGATGTATTGTTTTCATTTTTATTTATGTTCATCAACACTGTATTCAGGGAATTCATTATTAAAAAGATTTTCAATATATATATATATATATATATATATATATATATGTATGTATGTATGTATGTATGTATGTATGAATTAGAGTGCGTAGCTTCTCTTTTATATATAAATTTCGTGGAGTTATAACTTTTCAAAATTCTCACTTGACCGATTTGAACAAGAACTCTAGCTTTGTGGTATCGTACGCTCCATAATATATATTCAACTATCAATAAATAGCATAATTATATATATATATATATGTATATATATCTTTCAGTCTACGCGTAATTTGTCTTAGTTTTCCTACGTATGGGAAAAATGCGTCTTGAAGATGACAATTTGAAATTGTCGAAAGTACTTGGCATTTGTCTTGCATCTAACAAAAACTTGAATATAGTGATCTTATTATTCAGGGAATTGATAGTAAGTTAATGTCTCATTAAGTTCTGCTAGCGAAGTGATTACGCCATTAATTAACATTGCTATTAATTCTTTGTATAAATTGTTTCTTTATGATACAAAATATACACTTCACATTCCAAAATATTTACGACATTAGATCAGCAGTACAGTATTAATCAGAATCGTAAATTCTGCGGAAAACTACTAAGACATTTTTACTCTACTAATTGCATTATACTAAGTCCTTTTCACTTTAACAGATAAATACATATAACAAGAAAATTTCGTGGATTTATTCCTTTGCAAACTTCAAAGAATATCCTCACTTGATCGATTTGAACAAGAACTCTAGAGTATTGACTTTCCACCTGACAACAACTCTAATATAAGGATCTTATTATTCAAAGAATTGATAGTAAGTTAATGTCTCATTAAGTTCTGTTAGCGAAGTGATTTCGCCATTACTCACATTAACATTGTTATTTAATTCTTTGCATAAATTGTTTCCTTATTATATATATATATATATATATATATATATATATATATATATATATATATATATATGTATATATATATATGCATATATATATATATATATATATATATATATATATTGAACAATCAAAAATATTAAAAATTAAAATCTTCAGACACACTAGGTTTTATATTAATATTCTTTCGTTTTTTTATTATTATTTCATTTAGATTCCTCGACTAGTTTCGGCTAACATGGCCATCATCAGGAAAGAAAATAATTTTCTGCTTGCTGGATAGCAATGAACTACAGAAATGAATGTCTTGATGGAGAAAATGAACTTTTATATATATATATATATATATATATATATATATATATATATATATATATATATAAAAGGGAGAGATTTTACTAGTTCTAACGTCTTTTTTTGGTTGTAATGTGGATTTAAAAAGTTTGTGTATATTATGCTTTATTTTCCATAATTTTGCTACACGGGTTTCTGGTCTCGTGACCTTCATCAGGCAAAAGATGAAGGATTGCTGTATATAATATAATCGGTTTTCTAAACGAGGCAAAATATAGCAGATTGCAATTTAAGCCTGATATGTTGGATGTAGTAATTCAATCCAATGCTATGTATATGTCTGGACACAAAAGCACGTTCAGCCCAACATGTCTGTTTTTTTTTTTTTTTTTTTTTTTTTTTTTTATAAACAATTTCCTTGTGGTGAATACTGCAGATTCTCTGAAGATGGAATGTTTTCTTTGTTGCTTATATCTATATATTCAGGTTTTTCAACTTGTCGATCCGGTTTCTCCGGTCAACATCAGTATTAATTATCTTTTTGCTATATCTTTTTTCCGTGTCTTTTCCATTTTTTCAAGAAACAGGCTTGTATCTGACAATAGGAAGGAACGCCGCTCTATTGTCACTGCGAGACGCGATTTTGGCTTAAAAACTTTTTACCGAAAAAAAAACCTTTCCTTTTTGAAAAAAAAAAACTTTCACTATTGAATACATGGTAGATGATACTCAGCTTTTATGCATATACATGTTTGTGTGGATATGCTCACTAGAGACGGTGATAGGTGTGTTTTATGTCATAGTTTTGTTGAAGTTACATATTAGAACAGATTTTGATTTCCTTAAGAAATTGTAAGGTAATATATGGATTAATATCACGAAAGGCCTCTTTTGGGTTGGTTGTTTAGGATAGTTGATTTTGTTTAGCGGCATATCAACCTCTTTGGGTTCTTTAATAACGAAATTTTAATTGGGGGGCTTTGAGGTAATAAGAATGCGATATATGTCATTCTGCCTTCACAACTGAATACATGGTAGATGATACTCAGCTTTTGTGCATATACATGTTTGTGTGGACATAATTACTAGAAGCAGTGATATGTGTGTTTTATGTTGTAGTTTTGTTGAAGTTATATTTTGGAAAAAGTTTGACCTCTTTAAAAATTCGTTCATATATATATATATTCGAACCTGTATCATATACGGATCCGTCATAACTTGAAATATATATATTTTTACCGATTTATATACGAAAGAGCGTTCGGTTAGATAAATAACAAAATTTACTATATTTATGGAAGATTGAAGTTTAATATTTGAAAATAAATTCAACCTTGCTAACTGAACGCTACTTCCTGGCCAAATCGGTAAAGGCACGTCAATACATACACACACACACACACATTTTTTTATATATATATATATATATATATATATATATATATATATATATATATATATTAGAATTAATAACCGCCCTATTGTTCGGCATGCCATGAAAGAATCCTTCCTTGTTGGTTGGTTGATTTCTTTTAGTGCTATATCAACATCTATATCTATAGATTGATTGATTTATTTGCTGAACGGTATATCAACTCTTCATGGGTCATTTAATGTTCTTTGAATTGCTAATATGTTATTCTGCTTTCACAATTGACTACATGGTAGATAATACGCAGCTTTTATGCATATACATGTTTGTGTGGATATGATTGCTAGAGGCGGTCGTATGTATGTTTTATGTTGTAGTTTTGTTGAAGTTATATTTTGGAAAATAGTTTGATATCTTTAAGACAAGGCCTAAGGCAACCTTTTTGAACAGTGGGCTGCGTGAGACACAGTTCATCAGGAGGTGGGACGCATTACTAACAGACAATCGAAGTAATTTTTCATTCAAGTTACCGCCGCCATTTTCACAACCAAAGAGCATGCGCAAAAGCCTATGTGTTAGAAATGGAGAAAAGTCGATTTTTTTTTTTTACTTTGGAATAAAGATTCCTTCTATAAAAAAAAAAAACTGAAGTCTTCGTCTAATATCATCAATGATGACAGAATGATTAACACAATCTACTTTGTGTGATTTGTCTCTAATTTATTCATTTGACGATGCAAAAACATCTACTTTAAAGAAGGATATTTTCTCTCTAAAGAAAAATAATTATCATCAATGTTTCCCGTTTCTGAAGCAAAAGATGGGTAATAATAAACTACAGATATTATATTTTATATATTATATTTTAAGGTAGTATATATATATATATATATATATATATATATATATATATATATTCGAACCTGTATCCTATACGGAACCGTCATAGCTTGATGTGCCTTTACCGATTTGGCCATGAACGCGTTCGGTACCCATCAAGATCGAATTTACTGTATTCATGGAACATTGAAGTTTAAATAGTGGTAAATTGGACTTGAGATTTAACAAAATTTTTATTTTATTTGTTATATACATATATATATATATATATATATATATATATATATATATATATATATATATGTATTATTTGTATGTATGTATGTATACTACCTTAATAACCGCCCTATTGTTCGGCATTCTGTGGATAGTTCTTCAGTGTCTCAACATTGGAAGCTCTCCTGGCTGCCATTTAATCGGGGTTCTCATTTGGACAGGTCTTTCTTTCCCTCTTTTGATTGCAATCTGATCCTCTGTTGACGGAAATTTCTTTTTTGCGAGGCATACCGCTCCCGTATGCGATAGGCAACAATAAACTACAGAAGAACACAAAAATTGATCGGTGCATTTAATAATTGCATTAATATATAAGCTTCCCTTTTAAAAGTTCAACGATAATTCTTCTGCTGCCACGTAATTTAAAGATAATTTGATGTACGTAGGTCCTTACTTTCCGTACAAACTATTATTTTTATTTCATGGCTGACTTCCACTGGATTTTGTAATTAATTTCGATTATACTCAAATTTCTTTCCTAGTTATAAAAATCTTCGTCGCTAAAAATCACGTAAAAAATGCCGAAAACAATTGTATAAAAGAAAATTGATTGTGGGTACGGATCTGGCCCGGAATGTTTTTAATTTGTTCATGGAGTCGGTCTGATTCCAAAATGGTATGATAGGTTGGGCTACGGCCTCTAGGAGTAAAAGTTGAAAACACGGACAATCTTATTTTGAAACACTGTAATTTATTTTATTTGAACATGAGCTATTGAAAGTTAGAGAGTTGTGTCCCTTTGTTTGCTTTTATCAGTAGAAGCCAAGATGGCGGAATCCGAAAACAAGCGAAGCAATGAAGACTTGAGAATCCAAAATTTCAGGATTGAGGATCCGGATCCGGCCCGAAAAGTTTTTAATTGGCTCACGGAGTTGACCTGATTCCAAAATGGTGTGATATGTTGGTTCTTTTACTTTAGAAGAAAAGTTGAAAAAGGTGACACACACTGACATTTCATAATTATATATATATATATATATATATATATATATATATATATATATATATATATTATGAAATGGACAAAGTCTGACAATTATTTTAAGACATTGTTATGTTTATACATTCTTTTTATAGATACAGATATTTAAGTAAATGCTCTGTAAATAATAAACAATGAATGTAAATTTTCATAGAAAATATGTTGGTGCTATGACAGAATCCAACCTGTATCCATAACGGAACATTTACTCAGAATGGCCTGAATCTTTCAACACTGCTGGTGTCTTATCAAGTGAAATAGTTAAAAAAAAAGATGCATATATATATATAAAATATATATATATAGTATATATATATATTATAAATTAATTGATTTAATGTTCCAAAATTAAAGGAATCCATTTTTGGAAACATGGTTAGAACTGTGTAGTCGAAAAAAACCATTTTTGTAATATATTAATTATAAATTTATGAGTACTATTTTGTAAAAATAAAAATATCTACAAGAACATATAGCCTTACTGTTCTTTTTTACCGCCAATAGAAAAACTGTAGTTTTAACGTCTGAATTCAAAATTATTAAATTTGAGTGTTTCATATGGGTTATAGAATCTTAGGCCAGAGATGTTTACACACACACACACACACACACACACACATGTATGTATATATGAAAAAAAGCCCAGATAAAATGTAAGTCAGACATTATGAATAAAATTCTTTTTATAGATACAAATATTTGCACGTAAATTCCAACGTACCGTATTAACAACATGAACAAGAAATTTTCATAGAAAATATTCTCCTCCGACAGGAATCCAACCTGTATCCTAACGGCGTATAAAAATGTGAACAAATGACGTTCGCACATTTTCAAACTACAAAATGGAATAATTATATGCTCAATGAGTATCCAAATGTGAACAAATTATATTAAGAAAACAAATTCCGAGAATGTTTATAAGGCATTTTTATGTTTATACATTCTTTTTTTTTTATAGATACAAATATTTAAGTAAATGCTCTGTTTTATAATAAACAGCACTAAACAACATTTACCGGTCTGAATGTCCGAGAAATTGTCATAGAAAAATATTCGTCCTCCGACAAGAATCGAACCTGTATCCTACATGGAACCCTCATATAGCCTAACGTGCCTTAACCGATTGGGCCACAGAGGATCGTTCGGTTTGCAAGGTCGATTTTTCAGGCAGGTAAATGTTATGAATACTGTTTATTATAAACAGGGCATTTACTTAAATATTTGTATCTATAAAAAGAATGTATAAACATAAAAATTTCTTAATATATATATATATATATATATATATATATATATATATATATATATATTTACAATCCAACTGAACAATTTCTACGCTTTCTCAGAACTCATGGAAAAAAATGTAAGGGTACTAAAAAAGATTGAATCAAAATAACTTTGAAATTTTTTCTTGTCAGCCATATTCAATGAAACATATATAAAAGAGGGATTGCTGCCTAAATATACAATGTTATTGGCAGACGGAAATACGCCGTGTGATGTTAATTTTCCGACCTCATTTTTAAATATCTGAGCAACAAACGCAACCAATAAATCCCATTTACAATTGGTTCTGCTCTCCTCTCTCTCTCTCTAGCGCTCTCTCCCTTTCTCCCCACTCTCTCTCTCTAGCGCTCTCTCACTTTCTCCCCACTCTCTCTCTCTAGCGCTTTCTCACTTTCTCCCCACTCTCTCTCTCTCTCTCTCTAGCGCTCTTTCCCTTTCTCCCCACTCTCTCTCTCTCTTTTTCACTCTCTCTATTTCACTCGATCATTCTCACTCTCTCTTTTTCACTCTCTCATTCGAATCTCTCTCTCTCTCACGCTGTCTCTCTCACTGGCTCTAGCTCCATCTCTCTCACTTTCGCTCGATCTCTCTATCTAGATCTTTGGCGCTATCTCTCGTTCTATCTCTCTCTCTCTCTCACTCTCACTGGCTCTCCTTTGCTGTCTCTCTCTCTCTCTCTCTCTCTCTCTGTCTATCTTTTTATCTCTCTCGCAGTTTCTTTTATCTCTCGCGCTCTCTCTTTCCCTGTTCTCTGTCTATTTTCCCCATCTCTTTCCTTCTCTCTGTCTGTTTTCCCTGTCTCCTTCCCTGTCACTTTCTCTCCAGAGAAGATCTTTCTCCCTCTCTCTTCTCACTTTCTATTTGTCATCCTCTCATCTCTCTCTCTTTTAATCTCTCATCGATCTCTTTTCGCTCTTTCTCTCGCTCTCTATCTCTCTTTCCTCTATCTCTCTCACAATCTCTCTCTCGCTCAATCTCTCTATCTAGATCTTTCTCCCCTCTCTCTCTCTTGCTCTTTTCTCTTTCTCACCCTACCTCTCTCTCTCTCTCTCTTTTTATCTCTTTTGCTCTCTCTCTCTCTCTCTATGTATTTTATCTCTCTTTCGCTCGATTATTCCGGCTCTCTCTCTTTCATTCTCTTCCTCTCTCTCTTTAGTAAAGGAAAAAATCTCTCTCTCTCTCTCTCTCTCTCTCTCTCAAAATGAGAGCATTCTGTCTGTCTCTCGCTCGAAATCTATCTAGATCTTTCTCACTTTATTTATCTCTCTCGCTCTATCTCACTCCTTCCCTCTCTCACACTGTCACCCTCTCCCTCTCTCGCTCGCAATTTTTATCTTTCTCGCTCTTTTTATCTCTCTTACTCTCTCCTTCCCTCTCTCTGTCTCTCTTTCCCTCTTTCTTTCTCTATTTCATTCGATCATTCCGGCTCTCTCTCTCTCTTTCAGTCTCTCACGCTCTCTCTCTCTCTCTCGCTCGCCCTAGCTCTCTCTCTATCTCTCTTTCTCGCGGGCGCATTCTGCCTGTCTCTCTCGCTCGATGTCTCTATCTAGATCTTTATCTCTCTCTCGCTCTAAAAAAACTCTCTTTCCCCTCTCTCACCTCTCACCCTCCTTTTCTCTCTCTTTGATAAAAACTTTTTTTATCTCGCTCACTCTTTCCCTCTCTCTGTCTCTCTTTCCCCCCTCTATTTCTCTCTCCCAAAATGCCACGGTAGCACACGCCTCTCGACAAAGTGTCGATGTTATATTTTCTTTTAATAGAGCCGATATCTACATGTTTCCCGGTACGTTCTTCGCGACACTAGTTACTTTGAACCAAATAAATCATATTTACCGTCGCAAATAGTTCCAAACAGAAATAAAAAAATCTTTTGTTAAAATATATTTGCTAATTCTGACCTTTAAAACAATTCATTCAAAAAAATATATATATATATATATATATATATATATATATATATATATATATATATATATATATCTGTAATATATATATATATATATTTCTGTACATATATATACATGATATATATATATATATATATATCTATACATATATATATATATATATATATATATATATATATATATATATATATATATATATATATATATATCAAAAATATATATATATACATGTATATATATATATATATATATATATATATGTAAAAATACATATATATTCTTTATATACGTATATATATATACATATATCTGTACACACACACACACATATATATATATATATATATATATATATATATATATATATATATATATATATGAAAACTTGGTAATCAATTTGGGTAGTACCAAGGACGATGAAATCCTGAAAGCTCAATGTAAATCCAGAGCTAATAATTTAAAAGAAAAACAGACGACTTTAAGGTTCCGTTATAATAATTTATTTCACCAGACCCTTTTTAAAGGACGATGGAGCATCAAATAACACTTCCAAAAAAATGAAACGAAAGATGAAATGAAAATTCACACTTTGTAAAATTTTAAAATATACATATATATATATATATATATATATATATATATATATATATATATGTGTGTGTGTGTGTGTGTGTGTGTGTGTGTGTGTGTGTTAAAAAAAGAGGATCCGCAAACCTTTTGGTTGTAATGCGTTTTTTTTTTTTAAATATTATGCTTTATTTTCCATCATTTTTCTACGCTGGTTTCGGGGGCTCGCGACCGTCATCAGGCAAACCGTGGAGAATTCCACCTTTATTAATAATATTTCATTTTTTCTTATGTTTTTCGTTGTTAAATATTCTCGATATGAGACATTCTCTGTTTTGCGTGTTAGTGACCCAAATGTCTTTCTTGTACTGGCAGTGAAAAGTTCTGCGTTATGGGTTATAAAATTATTAAGATTGTTCCGATAACTCGGACCAATCTTAATTGTTTATAACCAAAAACATTTTCGGTTTCTCTCTTCTTTTTAATATACACACTTTTCTCTCGT